AGTTGCGCTTTGTAGAATTATGAGATATTCCGAGAAAGGATTACCTGGATCCTCAAACGAGATTTTAAAAGGATTACAAAAGGGTTTCTATAAAAGAAGAAAGAAACTTTGTACTAATAATGTCGAGGGTTTAATGTCAAACAACGTTAACTGCAAAAATCCTCTTTTTCTTCTAAAGGCAGCTTTACCTTCACAAAAGTCGTCCACCTATATGAAGAAATGAATATCCATGTCCTAATAATATTTATTTATTCATAAATTAATTATTAATATTCTATAATTTCATAGAGAAAGGTACAATTTTATAATTATTAATAATTTTGATTTTATTATTATTGAAATAAAATTTGTGTGTTGCAGTTGACTTTATTATTATTGTAGAATTTATTCTAAAATTATATAATTAAATTATTCTTTTACTCTTCAAAACTTGCATAAAATCAAAATCTTCAATTTACTGCTTTTGGAGTTGAATATATATGGCTTTATTATTATAGAAGAATTCATTCAAACAATAAAATTAAACTTCTTCGATTCTGAAAAATCTTCAAAGATCAAAATCTTCAGTCTACTGTTTCTTCAATTTAACTTGTCTGAACCCAAACCTGTCCTAAACCTAACCTAAACGAAACCCAAAACCTAACCCAAACCTAACCCAAACCTAACCCAAACTTAACCCAAACTTGACACAAACTTAGCACAAACCGCACCTAAAATTGTCCTAAACCTAACCTAAACCTAACCTGAACCTCACCCAAACCTAACCTTATCCTAACCCAAACTTAACACAAACCTAACCTAAACCTAACCCAAACTTAGCAAAAAACCTAACCTAAACCTAACCTAAACATAACCTAAACGTAACCTAAACCCAACCTAAACCCAACCTAAACCTAACCTAAACTTAACCCAAACCTAACCCAAACTTAACACACACCTAACCTAAACCTAACCTAAGCCTAACCCAAACTTAACACAAACCTAACCTAAACCTACCCCAAACTTAGCAAAAAACCTAACCTAAACCTAACCTAAACATAACCTAAACGTAACCTAAACCCAACCTAAACCCAACCTAAACCTAACCTAAACTTAACCCAAACTTAACCCAAACCTAACCCAAACTTAACACACACCTAACCTGAACCTAACCTAAGCCTAACCCAAACTTAACACAAACCTAACCTACCCTTCAATATGTCCATAAGCTTCCAACTGTTGTAGCTTCCAGTACAACAATCTCCCAATACAAAAAACAAAAATAATTGCCCCATATAAAAATATTTACCCATACAAAAGTTACCGTCTCACCGATACCTAATTTTGAACAGCCCTGTAGTTGTATACCGAATGTTAGAGGCGCGAGGTGGAGTGTGCCGGACTGTTCCGAGTAGAAGAGCGGCGAAAAACGAGGATGCGAACCGTGGAGAGGAGCCGATCTCTGCCAAATCAAACTTAAACCCCTCTGTTTCCTCCTGTTCGAGGTTCTTCTTCGATGTTCGAACGTTATCGATTTCGTTGAGTGGTCAGCTCAGAGAACCCGGTCGCACCAAGGTGTGCGAACGTGAGCTTCGTTTGGGAAATGAGGACTTTAAGTGCGCGTTGCAACCTGGAATTACGGGGCTGTGTGTACACGAGAGGGTGTAAAAGGGTGGCCTTCTCCAACCGGGATAGATTGGAAATTTAACGCGTTTACCACCTTTAACGTGCGATAAATTGAAACTTTTAAATGTAATTTAACATGGTGATGCACTGTCGTTTTTTATTTTTAATAAAAATTATTCTGCATTTTTGACAAATATCGTGTATTCATTTGTTGAAATTTTAATTTTTTGACGTAATTATAAGTGGTTACTATAATTAGTAGGCACTAGCGGTTACTAGTCACTATAATTACTGTTTTATTAGGCGAGTGTAGTATTTTTTACTAGAACTTTTATTAGAAAGGAAATTTTTGATAACACAGGGATCTAAGGATATCAGGATGGTGGAAGTTTGGTGGTGAGAGATTTTGGGGATCTGCAATTTTGGGATTTAGAGGTTTAGAATTTTGGGTTTTGCAGATTTAGGGATTTGGAGACTTGGAGATTTGGAGATTTGGAATTTTGGGATTTGGAGATTTGGAATTTTGGGATTTTGGGATTTGGAAATTTGGGGATTTGGAGATTTGGAATTTGGAAATTTCGGGATTTGGAAATTTGGAATTTGGAAATTTTGGGATTTGGAGATTTGGAATTTGGAAATTTTGGCATTTGGAAATTTGGAATTTGGAAATTTTGGGATTTGGAAATTTGGAATTTGGAAATTTGGAATTTGGATATTTGGAATTTCGGAAATTTTGGCATTTGGAAATTTGGAATTTGGAAATTTTGGGATTTGGAAATTTGGAATTTGGAAATTTTGGGATTTGGAAATTTGGAATTTGGAAATTTTGGGATTTGGAAATTTGGAATTTGGAAATTTTGGGATTTGGAAATTTGGAATTTGGAAATTTTGGGATTTGGAAATTTGGAATTTGGAAATTTTGGGATTTGGAAATTTGGAATTTGGAAATTTTGGGATTTGGAAATTTGGAATTTGGAAATTTTGGGATTTGGAAATTTGGAATTTGGAAATTTTGGGATTTGGAAATTTGGAATTTGGAAATTTTGGGATTTGGAAATTTGGAATTTGGAAATTTTGGGATTTGGAAATTTGGAATTTGGAAATTTTGGGATTTGGAAATTTGGAATTTGGAAATTTTGGGATTTGGAAATTTGGAATTTGGAAATTTTGGGATTTGGAAATTTGGAATTTGGAAATTTTGGGATTTGGAAATTTGGAATTTGGAAATTTTGGGATTTGGAAATTTGGAATTTGGAAATTTTGGGATTTGGAAATTTGGAATTTGGAAATTTTGGGATTTGGAAATTTGGAATTTGGAAATTTTGGGATTTGGAAATTTGGAATTTGCAAATTTTGGGATTTGAAGATTTGGAATTTTGGGATTTGGAAATTTAGAATTAGAAAATTTTAGCATTTGAAAATTCGGTAGTACCCCAGTCCTTGAAACCTCAAATACTCAAATACAAAATTGAAAATCGCCACATACATAAAATAGTTAAACATCGCAGAAGAATTTCTTTCACGATAACCCCTGAAAAGCGTGTAATCGTAAGACGCCCTATTGGCAGCAATGAAAGGCACTCGTGAAAATTCGTCCTGCGGAAGAACGCAAAATGGAAGCATCCAGGTAAAAAGGAAAAATGGCTGATTGCCAAGGACAATAGGGAATTGGCAGCGGTCGAGGTGCGACTCGTGTCCGGTTCAACCCTTATTCCGGTGCACCCTCTAACCTTAATAATAGCCGGCACCGGTGAGGGATGGAAAAGGGGTTTGTGTATCCTCGAGGGACGTGTCAGGGTCTCGAACTGTGTATAGATTAATGAACAGATAACGCTCTTACTATGCGGCTACCCCTAAGACAATGAACCGGCCAATCTGCGATCTTTTTCGAAGAGCCCACAGCAATTTGGATTCCGTTTTATAAACCACGCTCTAACGCAGTGATACCATCGATCAATTCAGAATGATTTTTTCCTTGACAATGGTACATTGGTTTATTGAAACATTGATAGAGGAACTGTTTTTCAAAGGGGATGTTTTCTTTTGACGGGGTTGTTTTGGGGATCTTGATTAACGAATGGAAGTTCAAGAGTTTTTTGTTATATTCTTTTGTTAGTAACATGTGAGGGGTGATGCGTGGTGCTTATGTGGTGATGTGTGGAGGAAGTTGGGGAGTGTAGAAGGGGTGTACTCTTGGATCCGAGGAAGATATTTTTGAAACCGTACAATTGTTTGAATTTTAGGAATTTTAGGAATTACTTGAGAGAAAATTTGTAGGACTCAGAAAATTTATTTACAAGATTGTAACTGTGGTTCTCAAATCCATATATCTCAAATTCCTGTATCTCTATATTCTCTAATTTCTAGCTTGCAAACTTCTATTCCCTCAAATACTTATGTACGTGCCCGAATTCCTAGGTTCCAAATTTCTAGACCCCCAAATTCCCAAATCCTCAAATTTCCAAGGTTTCGAATTTCCAAGGGCCTAAATTTCCAAGGTCCCAAATTTCCAAATTCCCAAATTTCCAAGGGCCCAAATTTCCAAAGTCCTAAATTTCCAAGTCCTCAAATTTCTAAGCTCCCAAATTTCCAAGCTCCCAAATTCCTATATCCCCAATTTCCAACGTCCCGAATTACTACACCCCCAAATTTTCAAGGGCCCAAATTTCCAAGCTCCCAAATTCCTATATCCCCAATTTCCAACGTCCCGAATTACTACACCCCCAAATTTCCAAGGTCCCAAATTTCCAAAGTCCCAAATTTCCAAGGTCCCAAATTTCCAAATCCCCAAATTTCCAAGGTCCCAAATTCCCAAATCCCCAAATTTCTAAGCTCCCAAATTTCCAAGGTCCCAAATTCCTATATCCCCAATTTCCAACGTCCCGAATTACTACACCCCCAAATTTCCAAGGACCCAAATTTCGAAGGTCCCAAATTCCCAAATCCCCAAATTTCTAAGCTCCCGAATTTTTAACGTCCCGAATTACTACACCCCCAAATTTCCAAGGTCCCAAATTCCCAAATCCCCAAATTTCTAAGCTCCCAAATTTCCAAGGTCCCAAATTCCTATATCCCGAATTTCCAACGTCCCGAATTACTACACCCCAAATTTCCATGCGCCCAAATTTCCAAGATCCCAAATTCCTACATCCCCAATTTCCAACGTCCCAAAATTCCTAGGTTCCAAATTTCTAAACCCTCGACTCCCTATATTCCCAAATTTCTCTCCACCCCAACTCCCTATATCCTCAACTTTCTATGTCCCCAAAATCTCTGTACCCACAATGTCCCCAAATTCAAAAAGTGTCTAAATAGTTGTTTGGAAGCGAGGTTCGGGATAAAGCACCCCTTGATCGAAAGTAAGTTTATGAATAAAGTGTGTGGAATTCACTTACCGGTCAGAAGGAACAGCAGCACGGTCGAATCCATCCCCAAAGCCGAAATTCGCCGGGTCGTAATCAATTCAACGCATTCTCGCAACATTCCTGTAACAAGAAACGAACTGGTCAGAGGTCGAAGCAAGAAACGCGGGTCAAAGGTTGGCAACACCCGAGAACCTTGCTATTTCCCGGTGACAAATTCCATTAGCAACGATACGAATAAGTGGGCGTTGAATCAGTAACGCGTTTACAACGCCACTAACAGCTAATCGACGGGGGATGATTAATTAAACGCTCCGACACTTTATAGAAATTCCTGTACGTTTCGTGATGAAATTGGTTCTTTTTTTGTTTGATTTCTGGAGAAAATTTATTATTATTTTTTGTAGTAAATTTAAAGTGGAATATTGTGATGATTAATGACATAATTGTAATTTATATCCGAATCAATGATCAAAGAAATTGAAGCCCAAACAAAAGCAACAGCAACATGTCAGAATTAACAATGTTATTATTGATATCATGATTAATTGTTTATAACAATTTATATCTACATATCTTTTAATAGCGATTTACTTAATTTTTGTTATAATTAATGTATATATTTTATTAGTCATCATTTCAGACGACTTACAAATGGATCAATAAATATTTATCGATTAGATGTTCGATCAATAATCAATTCTATTAATACATGATAGACTTTATACATTGAGACTGTTTATTTATATAATTTTTATTTAGTTAAACTACCTATATATATTTTCTATTTATTCATGTTCATACATGAAAATGAATATTGAATTGTAATAATGAGTAGATAATGAATCGTGCGAGAAATTATGCAATGAAGGTTACGTTAATAATGTTGCACACCCCTTAATCACGCGGCAACTTGATAACCACCAAATAAAAATAACCGTCGAATTTTTCGCGTTCATTGTTTAACCTCTTTTTGTCCCAGCAATGATGAATGGTTAACAGGGTTTTATTTAATAAATTCAAGCGAACGTCCGTCACGCTTATTAGCGTTTAACTGACTTTACAGGGGTGTTAACAGGCATAGAGAATCACACCGAATTAGCATACTACCCCTACATCTGTTGACCATTAATCAATTAGCGTGATTTCGTGCGCGCACACCCTCTCGCCAGCGTACAACTGTTAGAAACCAGTAGAATATATCCCTGGTGTAAAATTCTCGTTAAATGAACTCCCGTGTGAAAATGATTATTGCGAAACACGCAGACCACAGAGGAAATAAACTTTAATAACACGGTAGAACATGAATTCTATGCTGTTTATAGCGTGATTCTCTACGTTTGCGTTCAAGCTATCATCGTTTGCGTTCAAAGTATCCTTTTCGAGGTATCGTCTGTGCACGATAGAAAAATTAACCCTGCTTTCAAATTTAGTAGAGCGATATCCCTAATGGGCCAAAATAATAGTACATTTTGCAAAAATGAAATAATTGAAATGAAATAATTTTACAAAAATGAAAGGAACAATATAAAATGACAAGCTCGATGTTCAAACTGTTTTTCGTACAATTAATTCAAATTTTATAGAAAGACAGTACTTTTATGAAAGAAAAAAAATACAATTTTATAGAAAGTTGTATATTAATCAATTTTTAGAAACAAAACTAAAGTGATGGTTAATAAATGTTTTCTAGCAAATCATCTGGAAAATGTTATTTTGAAGACATTTTATTCTGAGCGTCACATAACCTCACTTTTACAGATGTTTCTGACGTAGCGATTATTTAGAAGAATATTCGTATTTCATCTGTAGGTGATCTTGTAATATGTCCTTTATAAGAGTTCTTTGTAAGTTTATAAAAAATGTACTTAGATAAAATACATATATTTCAATTCAATGTTTGGCGACTTATTTATGAATCTAGTAGGGGAATAAACAAAAGTTAATATATATTTGTTGATTAGAAATTAACAAAATATAGCGTTGCTAATAATAAATCAACAAAACTTGTATATGTTACTGACTTTAAATATGTGAATTTCCATATGTATTATTGATTACTAATTAACAAAATAATCCAAGGAAACCTAACAAAATACATACTGTACATACAGTATTTCAGTTATTGCTTATGAACGAAAAATGCAACTAAACTTTACAGATTTAAAAAAATGTATAGAAGTGTCCCTAACTAAAAATGCATAAATTAATAATATTATCAGCGTATCATTAATATATAATATTATTAACTGTAGACATAACGTTAGATTTTAGGAAGTTTTATAATATTGAAGGTTTAACGTAGCAGTAATGAAAGACCAAGAACCATCACTCGTTCGTTTTAACATTTGGTAGGCACATTGAGGCCAGGGTTGACGTATTTCTTTTCTTCGGTACATGTAATTTGAAAAGTCGAGGCGATCCTTGGGTTTATTACTGTTACGGTAATTTGTAAGTCGAGGGTCGGAAAGTCAACGGTTTCGGGCCGGATGACCGCCGCAGGGGAAAGTGAGAATTTCCGATTTCGGGAAACGTCACTTTTCCCACCCCGTGTTTTTTGCTCCCTTCTCAGAGTGCTGATACTTTGTAAAAAGGAAATGCGAGAGAGTCTACGCTTAGAATTTATCATTGAATCATTAAACCTCCTCCGTATCGCTGTTCGTTAAAATTGTACTCAACCTTTAATTGATTTCCTGCCCTTAAACCGGAATAGTCAACATAACACACCATCAGTACAATATAATTTACATAATTTGCCAATAAAAAATGAAAACGATGGTCAGTTACACGCATGCACAAAAAAAAATAAAAGAAAGAACATCGTGGTCCACATGTTTGCAGGATAATTTTTATTTGTATCTCGTGGTGATCGCGAACCGGAAACGGATGTCCGCGTGGTGAAAAATGACCACCGTCGTGCTTCCGGTCTCCAGCATCCTACAAAACACCAGCACCGACTACTTTTCCTGACTATCCAGCGTAATGTGCTTTCGGTGCTGGCCACCCTCGCGTTTCATCCCCTATTCACCGGCCCTCCGTTAACCCCTGCGCGACCATAACTCGGTCGTCGGTCCTCTGGGACTCCGTTCAGTTTACTGTGCGTGATCTTTCAGAATTTAGATCGGAATTTTTGTTACCGTGAATCTCGCCAACCCCTCTGAGGGGATGCAAAAATTCCGAGGGTCTGTTCTCTGTTTTCTGCTCGATGGGAAATATTGTTTCAGGTATTGTCACGTTCTTTTAGGAATTTAAATATTTATTACTTTTTTTTAGGAACTTTTTTTGAAGGAGTTTTTGTAGAAATATTTAGCAGAATAATCACAAGACTTCTAAGACTCTATTTATATTTTTTTGATTGATTAAATAGTTTCTTCTTTATTTCTGAAGAATTAAAATTTGTATGTAAAACCTTTTGTATGTAAAGGTTTATGTAAGTATTTTATGTTATTTTATGTATTTCAACTGTGTTTTTATTTTACTCTCGGTATTTTACTTTCAGTAAAAATTATTTTCTGTAAGAATTGTTTTAATTATTTAAATTGCGCATGAAATTATTTGGAGAAACCTCGTATTTTTACAATTTACATTTTTATTACGCAGGTCCTTTTCGTTTTTATTACTTGACCAACGTAAACTTACGTCAACGTGAATTTAAATAAAAGCAAACTTCACGAGGAATATGTGTAATTTTAATAAAAATAAACTTCACGAGGATTAACCTTGCAACGTAAATATTAAATGAAACATCGTAGCTTCATTAACCCACACATTAAAGATTACCATTTCCATATTTCCACAAGCATTTCATAAAATGTTTACGTCTACCTACAAAAAGAAAGCTCTTCGTTTCAACAACCAGTGTTTTTCAACAACATCCATTGTCACCGTAATTGTCATCATATTTTAATACGCCCTAAGAAAAGAATATTTTAATTGAAATTCCAGAAACGTAGAAATACAACCCCTATACCTTCGAGAATGAATTTCGTTTTCTTCTCATTCCCACGGTCACATTCGTCGCATTCTATACATACACACCTGCTTCCCCCGACAGCATGAAATATTAAGATAAATTGTATTACGTTGGCCGAGGAGCGTCCTGAAAAATTACGCGTCACTCGTTCAGAAATAAATGAATATCTTACCCGCAAGACCATCAATCTTATCGTTTATCGACCGGTTTATACTTGTATCCACGTTCACGCTAATATACGTTTCAATTCGAAAACCTAAGCTCAAACATTTCGTTATTTCATTCCTTTATTTCGTTGCTGTTTCACGGAATTTCTTACGCTCCCACGCTAAGGGTAGTTTTGGCGTAATAATTTATTTTCTTGAATAAGTTTGGGTGTAATTTTTAATTTGTGTTGATACAGGTTTTTGTATTTTC